TTGTTGCTCATACTTATTGTTGTTGATATTGATGTTGTTACGATTCATTGTAAGTTAATATCACTCTTAGTATTCGTATATTGGGATTGAGAGGATTTATTCTAGAATTAAAACTTTTCTTCCTAGATTATTGCAAATTTTCTTTTTTACGTTATTAATCGCCCCCCCCGCGTGCCCGCATAGATCTAACTCTCCTCCCCGCCACAACATGAATAGTCGTGACCTGCAATCTAGAGGGAATGAGGAGTCTTACAACCGGATTTCACCATTGATTTGTGGGGCCACAATGGTTCAGGCCAGATCGGGCGGAAAGTTTTCCTGCGCGATGACTAGGCGTTCTATGTAATTCTGCTCCCATCATGATCTGCTCAATCACTGCAGCAACGTCATGGTCTCGCACAGCCTGGCCAGCAGTGCTAATAGATAACAATCCCAGGTGTGATCAGATCACGTAGCAGCATTCCGACTGAGCCAAGCACTATGCAAATGATTCCTGGTCACTTGGGGGTGTTCGGGCTGCAGTCGGCGGGTCAAGTACAGCCTAGTGAAATGAAAATGCGGTTTGAGCGCTTGTGACGGTCGTGCATACGAAATGCTTCCCTCGGGCGACAAATCTCCTAGACGGTTCGCTGCACCAGACCGTGTTTTCGCTCGCAAAGCCGAGGGGTGCAGGGGTGCTGGCGTAGCTGTTTCTTTCAACCAAGGCTTCCTCATCATTCGCATACTCAGTTGCCCACACTATGCCACTGAACACGCCCTCGCTCGCCTGCTACTCCTCCTCCTCGCGATCTCACACCGGCGCACGCATAGGGTTGAGGGTTCTTTCTGGGTAGTTTTATGATTGATTTTGGGTATTGTTTATGGTTTTCGGTTCGGTGGGTACGCGAGTGAGTCAGTCAGCCAGCCAGTCAGTCAGTCAGTCAGCCAACCACGCGGTCAGTCAGTCAGTCGGTCGGTCGTCCAGCGGCAGTGGTGAGTCGGTCAGCCAGTCAGTCCGTCTGCCAACCGAGCCGTCAATCGGTCTGGCTGTCTGTCAACCAGTCTGTCAGTCCGTCAATCCTCTAGTCAGTCGAGCTGCTGATCTGGCGTTGCACCTGCAACCAGTGAGCATGGGGTACCGGAGACTCGGAATCGCCAAAAGAGGGGGCGTGTTTAAAATATATGATGAACCGGAACCGCCGAATCAGGGGGCATGTTTAGGATAGATGAAGAGCCGTTAACACCAAAAGAGGGGGCGTGTTAAACATATATGTTGAAACGGAATCGCCAAAAGAGGGGCGTGTTTAAGATATTTGGTGAACTGTTATCGCCGAATGCGGGCGCGTGTTAAAGATACCTGGTGAACGGGAATCGCCGAATGAGGGGGCGTGTTGAAGATATGATGAGCCGTTATCAACGAAGAGGGGCCGTGTTTAAGATATATGGTGAACGGTCATCGCCGAATGAGGGGGCGTGTTAAAGATATATGGTGAACCGGAAAGGGGTGTGTCTGAGATTGTTGCATAATCTATGGTGAACCGGAATCGACAAATGAGGGCGCGTGCTTAAGATGTGATGAACCGCCGGTTCCTTTGCAAGTGCGTTTGCAAGTGGGGGGGGTGCGCTCCCCCCCAGACCCCGCCCCCTTCTTTCTTAAGCCCTGTTTTTCTGTAGCGAACTTCGTACCATCAAGAACGCTATTGGGCCATTTGCGATGGTCGCAGCAAGTCAAGCGCATAACTATTCTGAGACTTTTCAATTGGCCCAACCCCCCTCGCTTTATGTTTGGGCCGCGCAAGCAAAGATACATGGTGAACGGTTATCGCCGAATGAGGGAGGGTTAAAGACGTATATGGTGAAGCGAAATTGCCAAACAAGGGGTGTGCTTCAGATATATATATATATATATGGTGAACCGGAATCGCCCAATGAGCGGGGTTGTTTAACACGTATCATGAACCGTTATCGCCAAATGAGGGGGCGTGTTTATCATGTATGTTGAACCTTTATCGCCAATTGAGTGTGGCGTGTCTAAGCTATAGGCTGACCCGGAATTACCAAATAATGGGGGGGGGGGGGGTGCTTACCTCTTGCAAGTGCGTTTGCAAATGGGGGGGCTGCGCCCCCCCCCACCCCCCGCTTTCTTCAGCCCCGTCATGAACTTGCTTTAGCGAACGTCGTACCATCAAGAACGCTTTCTGGCCATTGGCGATTGGTCGTAGCAAGTCGGGCGTAACATATATGAGACGTTTCACAGCCCGGTTTAGGGGCCCCAACCCCCCGCTTCTTTATGTTTGGGCCGCGGTGAACGGTTCTCGCCGCCGAATGAGGGGGTTTTGAATAGATATATGGTGAACCGAAATTACCAAATAAGGGGGGGGGGGCGGGCTTCATATATATATATATATATATATGTATGTATATATATATATATGTGTATATATATATATATATAGTGATCCGGAATCGCCAGAGGAGGGGCTTGTTTAAGACGTATCATGAACCGCTATCGCCGAATGAGGGGACATGTTTAGCATGTATGTTGAACCGTTATCGTCAATTGAGGGGGCATGTTCAAGATATAGGATGACCCGGAATTGCCAAATAAGGGGGCGTGCATTTGATATGGTGAACCGGAACTACCAAATCAGGGGCGTTCTTCAGATATATGGTTCAAGATACGTAATGAACCGAAATAACCAGATGAGGAGGGGGGATGTGGGGTACCGGAATCGCCAAATGAGGGGGCGTGTTTGAAATAATATGATGAACCGGAATCGCCGAATCAGGGGGCGTGTTTAAGATATATGATGAGCGGATACGAGCTGTAATGACCAAAACAGGGGGCGCATTAAAGGTTATATATATATATATACAACTATATATATGTATATACACATATACATATGATGAGCCGTTATCACCAAAAGAGGGGGCATGTTTTTGCATATATGGTGAAAGGTTATCGCCGAATCATGGGCACGTTCAGGATATATGATGAACCAATATCACCAAAAGAGGGGGCATGTTTAAGACACATGGTGTACGGTTATCGCAGAACGAGGGGGCGTTTTACAGATATATGGTGAACCGGAAATACCAATTACGGGGGGCGCGTCCAAAATATGTGGTATAGTCATACCTATGGTGTACCCCAAGCGCCAAATGAGGGCGTGTGCTTAAGATGTGATGAATCGCCGGTCCTCTTTTGCATTGCGTTTGCAAACCGGGTGGAGGCGTTCATGAAATATTCAACTGTTCCGGATCCATCATAGGCAAAGAGGGGGGGGGTCTCCGCTTCGTCAAACCGCGCAAGCTCGCTTCAAACATCATTCTGCCAGCGAAAACAATGTCCATATGAACGTGATGCATACGTACATTGGGTTTGCAACTGAGGGCGCCTGCGCCCCCCCCCCCCCCCCCCCCCCGCAACGCCCGCTTTCTTTTTTATGCCGTGCATGGCTTGCCGTCAAGAAGAATTCCGTCAATCACATAACTCTTCGTCAGGAAGGAATAGCGTCAATCACATGTTTCTTCTTGAAAGTTCGAGTGTTGCAGATCCATCATACACGGTGCAAGTTTTCGACAATCCAGGCCCAGAAAACCAGAAAAAATACACCAAAAAATCCAAAATCAAGTCCTTCCGTGTGACCCTTACAGGGTTTTCTACAATCCAGGCACAGAAAGCCATAAACAAATGCCCAAATAAAACCATAAAAAATACAAAAAAAACCTGGACCCGCGCACGCACGCACATGCACTCGGTCGCGCCCATCACCTTCACGCCACTTCGTGCCGTCCTCGTGTGTGTGTGTGTGTGCGTGTGTTTGTGCGTGGTCTGCCTCGTGCACAGGTGCACCGCTATGTCGTTTCCTGTACGCACAACATTGCACAACATATCACACAAGACTACACCTTCGTTTCACCACTCATATTGCTGCATCTACGGTGCAACCCCCCCGGGTCCGCACACGTCCACAGCAAACTCGCTGGCAGCAGATATCACTGCCCTACCAGTAGCTCTGACCAAGCCTCCAGCCTTTGAACCTCATACTGGTACTGTGACTGCTGTGTTTCTGTCAATTTCTTTGGATGCTGCGCACAACCGAAGCAGTTGTTGCACAGCTCTATCTGAATGCTTTCCAGATTCTTCATTCGAATCCCGGCACTGAGACACAGGTGCTACGTCGGAGGCCGCGGATGGGGATACTTGATTCATCTTCAAGATATTCATGATCGTGGCTCGCGCAAGTCAACGGCTATGGCTGTGGCATATGGACGGTTTTGTGGCCGACACGTTGATAATCACGAATTGCACAAACTCGCAAGAAACACGGCAGCTGTCCTCTAGGGCACATTCGATGCGCCCAGTTCTGTATAGCTGTTAATGCCACTGTCGATGCCTGTCCATGTTCCGTGTAATGCAGAAACGTGCTACCTGATACCAGCAAGTGAGTGTTAGGCGCCTCTGGGATCGGCGCACCCCGTGCCCCAGCTCCAAGCAGCGGGCTGGCAACCACGGCTTTGTCAGTCGCAACGCTCCAGGACAGATCCAAGCTTGCCTGGCTACGGAGCTCCACTGACATTCTAGTTGTCCAAGCGGCGCGGCCACGGGGCCTCCCAGCAGCTCTGCAAGCACTTCTCCCAATTCTCAGAGCCATAGAACGGCCTTGCTCGACTCCCCCGGTCAGAGGGACTTTCAACAGGCTCGACATAGCACGAAGAACAGGTGCGCGGCGGCACCGTGTGGACTATGTGGCTGAAGAAAGGGCGCAAGCCACCTAAAGCCTGGGTGGACAGAGCTACGTGGCATGACAAGCCACAATCGAATCCACCCGATCGTTTCCCAAAGACTGTGCAACGGACGGGCGTCATCACGGCCTGACCTGCCCACGTAAACTTCTACAACTGCATGGTTGCTACAGGCATCGATCTCCACCCCTGTGCCGCAAAGAAGCTTGCTACAACATCTTGCTGCTTGCGGGTTTGGTAATTGATCAGAAGAACAGAAATAGTCTCGTACAGGCACTTCTTCGAGAGCAGCACCGCAGTGCGTACGAGAATCGGCACTGCTACGACCGAAACGGGCTCCAGCGAACGCACGGCCAGCAAGTCCAGGCATTCCAAGCACTCTCCATCCAACCCCCCACCCACCCGCAACCACTCAAAGACAGACAGACAGACAGACAGACAGACAGACAGACAGACAGACAAAGACGTGGAAATAGGCCGACTCAACGCAAACGTGTGGTTTCGCAAATCCTGGAGCCCCAGACCTGACTTCTTCTTCCTCCGATTAGCATCCAAGCAGCCATTTCATAATCTGGTTATCGTATGGCTGCAATGCGAAGATAGCCAGGAACTAGTATGCCAAGCTGTCCAAGCTTGGCATCCCGGTATCTGGACAGCTTTGTCGGACCGCATTTCCAGATGCGTGTCCCATCCTCCTGTTTGGATACACAGCTAGATCTTGCGATTCGGGCACACTCACACAATTTGGGAAGCATTAATCGTCTTCATATGTCTTCCTTGATGGTGCAGCTCCCTGAAAATCCGGACCACATCAGATGCTGGCGAAGGTCCCGGTCTTACGACACGAGTTCCTGAATATGTCGTGTCGGTCTCTGCAGGGCAAGCTGCAAGCGCCTGTTGGACATCTGATCCCGGGAGAAACCTCTCCAAGTCGCAGGCATGCCTGACGGCCATGACAGCACCGGTGCAGTTTACGACCTGGACAAACACCTGTTCAGAGTTGTTGTGCCTCTTTCAACTCAGACCCACCCACGGCATGGACACGTCCATCAACAACCTGCATTCACAACGCGTGCACAGCAAAGGACGCCACTAGTCACCAGGAGAGCTTGCTAGGCCTGCTGAGCATAGAACATTCCGCTACCAGCTTCCATGCCACACCACCTGCGAAAGAAAACTTGGAACGACGAAAGCCTCGATATGCTCGAGTTGTGTACAAGCGGGGGAGACGAGCTCTTTTGACCAATGAGCTTTTGACAGTCTTCGGGTTTCACGGAAAAAGACTCACTCATGTCACGAAGACTGTATCAATTTCAGAGAGGGCTGACAGTGCCTACTCATTAAGCAACTCTCGGTAACAGGAAGCTTTGCAGTCCCTCCGTATCATGGATTCTCCAAGGGGTGAACGGTGTTCATCGCCTGCCGACATTTACTGACTGTCTATGTATTTAAAGTTGGTCCGTTGAAAGCTGAAACTGCTCTGGCAATATCGGGCTCGATCAGAGTTGGTCTGTGCGTGTCTCGTCGGCTTCAAAACGAGCTTCTGATGTGCTGCAGGCCCAGCTAATCACAAGGGAAGAGTACGACAGAGCCGATAATCCGTTGAAGCAGGCGTCCTGACACAGCAAACCAAAGTGCACCCCGTGAAACAACACCGTACTGCGCACTGCTACCTCGAGCCTTGAATTCTGGAGCTCTGGTGGCGGCTCGGCTTTCATCGGAAAGTATGGCAGCCGAGTCCCAACCAGGGCCTGGCAAACGCACAGATCTGATTGATGCTAATTCTGATTCTGGCTTCTTCGGCACCTCGTTTGCAGGATTGATCAAGACATCACAGAATCCCTGAGGAGGACTCTCAACGATGTCGTCGGTCATGTGCCTCGTGCCAAACCGACCGGATGCCAAAGCGATGTCAGACACATTCTGCATCTGAGAGCTGCGCAACTGCAGTTGCAACGAGCCTAACTGCAGTGACCTGGCAGCAGTGGTGAGGAAACTCGCCTCCCGTAAATGTGCTGGCTGCAGTGATGGCATGCAGGAGACGGACTTGCAAAGCCGACCTCCTGGAGCCACGCGTGCTCTGCGAGAAGCTGCGACTGAAGCGAGTGATCGCCTAACCGAGAGTGCAGAGATGTGCAGAGGTTCTGCGAGGCTTGGAACTTGGAGCTCTAGCTACGCAGAATCGCAATGCGACCTCCAGCGTGGGCATGGCACCAAGGACCGGCTAGCGGCTAGACTTGAGCATAATGTCTGTCGCCCCGGGCATCAACTCGAACAGAGTTTCAACGTCAATGCTTGTTCTTCTCTCCAGTGGGACTTGTTTCAGAACCACACAATCAAGAATCACACAACAAGAGGAAGGAGGGTGCCGTATGAAGACGAGGCTTCAGCAAGCGACGAAGGATGTGGTGACCCGACGCCTTGACGAATCGACGAATGACGGCCAAATCGAAGCTCACGAGACAAAGGAATGCGACACAAAACGAACAGAGGAAAGGAGCAGCAGGCATCTTTCTTCGACCTTTGGCCTGTAGATGCCTGCAAAAAAAAACTTCTCACACGAACAACAGACCACACAATGCAGCATGTCAAGTCATCATCCCAAGTGCAATGACATGTACAAACCCACTCCTGCAAGTAGCTGGTTTGGAACCGGGACCTAGGTTCGCTGAGCGCAACCCAGGGATGCGCAGAGCTGCAAGCGTCAGACCCAGGTTTGTTCTTCGCTCTAATTCGCTGAGGGGCAGTCCTCATGCTGCTTTAGCAGCAGAGGTTGCTCCCAGCCGGTGAAACGCTCTGATCCAGAGGCGTTTGCTCTCATGTCATGCATCCGCAGCTGATCCTGCCCGATCTGCCCACCCACGAACGCAAAGGCAGAACAACGACATCCTCTTTGTCCGGGTGCTCCAGTGGTGTCGAGATTGCCGATGGGCACCTTACACGTAATCACTACGAACGGCGTATGACACCAGAACATGAGACAGTTCGGCTCACCTCGCTGTCTAAATTCGTAGGAAAAGCTGTCCGACTAGTTGAGCACGGCGCCTCTGCGGATACATCACTTCGGTCCTTCGACGAATCGAAAGCCATCGGAGCTTCATGACAAAGTCGATGCAGTTTGTCCTTTATGCACGTCATGGAACTGCACAACAGAAATGGCTATACGGCTACACCTGTCCCAGAAGTAAGCGCTGGGCCAGCCAAGGCAATTTGCTCTTTGATGCATACTTGTGATGGCGCTGCTGGTAACCCCTTCTTTGCAGAGAGCGGCAACAGTTGTATGTCCTCAGCACGCAACCCTCGCTTGTCGATGCAGCGGGGCAGCAAGGTCCGACCGAGCCTTTGAATTTGTGCGGCCTTTTGCGGGGATGAAGCCTGAGAAGGGAGGTCATGCTGCTGCCGTTGGAAAGCCTTTGGCATCCTGAGTCTTTGGCTGCGAGCACTGCAGACTGCTCCTTCCGCAGCGAGCTGGTCGTCTCGGGTCTGGCCTCATCAAAGCACATCAACAAGACAGCTGAAGGGATGCATCAGATGGAGCCGTGGGAAGGCATGCCGGTCGGCAGTCACTGCCAACGCTGAACCACATCTTCACAAGCTGAGAAGCTTGATAATGGGCAGTTCTAAGATGTGGCAGTGGCTTGTCTTTGGGCGGAAGCTTAAGACAGGTTCTGCATGTGCAAAAGATACAGACTTCTTTCCTTTGTGTAACATGTTGCACCTCTCGTGCACGGATGGCGGAGCTCCACAATAAAACAATAGCACTGGCAGCGGAGACGCAGGGGATCAATGCTGCTCTTGCTGACAATGCTGCTAGAGTCCTCGCAACCTGTCCGCATGTCCTAGCCGCGTACGGACAACAAACCAGCCACAAGTGTGCCACGTACTGCTTGTGGCCACCAGCCTGGCATGCTGAAGTGCTGGTTCAACGAATCTTGACTTGAGATGTGAAACGCCCGGCTGCCAAAACGCCGAGGAAAGTCACCCAAGCGGTGGTGGTGGTGGTGGTGGTGGTTATCGGCGACAAAAATCCATGGACAAGGCCGGAAACCCCTGAGTTCATTTCCAAGGATTGACAAGGCGTTGCTTGCCCACCTATGTCCTGAAACGATGGAAAACAAGGAAAACCTGACTCTGTAGCTCGGCACCGGGCAAGCTTTGGAGTCGAACGGGCAGTGCTTGTCGGGACCGGCGGTGGTGCCGGCTTTTTGAAGAGTCGAGGGTGGGAATCGCTCTTGGGGGATGGAGATCCACAGGACTCCTCATCTTCCACCTTGTCGTCCTTCTCCCGGTCAGGCCACAAGTCCAAAAAGGCTACGTCTTCCACCGTAATCAGCTTTTTGCTCGGATCCTGCCGAGAACTCGTCGGCCCGACACACTGAAAGAGCTCCTGTGCGTCCCCACTCCATTTCCCTTTTTGGCAACAGCGCCTCAAAATGTGCAGGGTCAAGGTGCCGTTTCCTTCTTTGTCGAAGTTCTTGAAGGCATTCCCGACCGATCCATACAGTCTTGAGGCCCATTGCTTAAATGACATAAGCACATTGTAAATGTCCGGGCTGAACTCTTCCATGCTGATGTATCCAGAAGCATCGTTGTCTATGTATCCTGAAACACATGTCAGTGTCGTGTCTGCCTAGCTCTGCTGACGGTCTTCAGTTGCAGCCACGGCTCTCCATGCTGCTCCAACGTCGCCTTTGAATCTGACTCTCCTGTGCTCAGGGCTGCGGCTGCGCGAGGCGAGGCGCATCGAGGCGCAAGAGTGCACTGCAGCGCCATGCACCGCCCTCCTGCAGCCGGCGACGAACTCCGTCCAAGACACCTCAGGATGCCAGGAGTCTCAAAGAGATCTCATCCTGGGCTCTGGCCCGGACCTCGTTCTGGCCATCAAGATCAAGCTCGCGCCAGGCATGCAGGGGGCTTCCTCAGCTCTCAGCTGTGAGGCAGAATCAGCTTTGGGGTGTTTCTTTCTGTTGTGGCACCGTATCTCTCCAGAAGGATATGCTTCACCTCGTTCCATGCCTTCCAGGGCAGAAATCGCAAAATTGCAGGGCTCCGCAGATCTGCCTCTTCGGAGGGCTCCGAGATGAGGAACAGCGGAGGCTCCTGCCGGAATCCGGCATCTTTGGAGTTGGCACTCTAAAACTCACGGCAGTAAGGCAGCTGACCCAAGTATCCAGCCAGTACAAGTCAGCCTGCACAGCATCTGCCGTCAAGCGAATCTGGATGCCGAATTGACGAAAGCACGCCTGTGAAACGAAGCCTGCGTTGAAGAAGTCCAGGGCGGATAGCATTTCAGCCTCTCAGGGGTGACAAGTCGCTTCCCCTGTATAGGTTATCTGCAGGTGTCTGGCCTGATCCCCGGAGCAGATCCATCCCAAAGCCTGAATGCAAGAATCTCGGAGGCAGGCCAATGCCCAGACTGCCCTTGGCTCCTTCAGCGACTCCACGAAGTGCCCTATCAGCATCTTCTTCACGGAAATGAGTCGCGAGTCGCCGGAAAGTTGTGGAGAAGCACGGGCTTTCTCCTTTCTGCGAGAGGTCTGCTGCATCTGAGTCGATGACGCTGAGAATGTGGATCGTGTGACGTTCAATGATGCTCACAAAGCCCTCAGGATCACGCCATCTCGGGAAGACTCCAAACCTCTGCTGTCTGTGCTGTCTCTCTGTCAGAGTGTGAGTGATGAGAAATTTCAGAAGTATTTTGTGGACTCGTTGAGCTTTGCATGTTTTGAATGCTGCAACATGGGGCTTTTGCCGACCAGGGTGGACCCGGAGACCAGAGGACCAGACAGCTCGCACAACCCCCTCTATGCCCCTCTGCATGCCAAACAGAAACAACAACAATAACAAAACAAGAACCATGACAACAACAACAACAACAATACCAAAAACAAGGCATGTGCGCTTTTCGCCGCCGCGGAAGGTAAATCGATTGCGTTTGGAAGGATGTCGAGCACAGATGAATGCGGAAGTGGCGAAAACACCGGCAGGCGCAGTGAACTCGAGATGTTGCATCAAAAGTGGCCACATTGGCATGCATGGAAAAGTGTGGCAGGCGTAGGTTAAGAGGCATATTTTACACATTTGTGTTTAAGTGCAAGACCTGGTGACCTGGTTGTAGACGCAACATCCATATAGAAAAAGCAGGAATGTGTCGGTCTGCATGTGGTTTCGTGGCATTGGCAAAACTGTCGATTTTCAGTAGAGTGGTTCTGGAAGACGAAAGCACGGTGGGAGAATGCGTAAAATCAAAAGCTGGCGAAAAGTTGCTTTTAATCTCTTATGTAAGGGGGTGACATAAGTAAAGGTTTAGGTCGAAGTCTTTCGGGCATGGGCCTTGCTGGTTGAAGTTGAGGGCTCGCGTGTCAGACCTTGGGTTTTGGGGCTAAAGGGTACACAAGTTGGGGCCTTCCACTTCAGACTCTGGTTTTCTTTGGAGTTTAAGGTTTAGGGTTGAGGTTGGGGGTTATATAAAGGGTTTTAGACTTCAGGGTTTACGGCTCAGGTTCAGGGTTGAAGGATTTGGGCTTGAACATGGTGGCTGTTTCTCGAGAACGCTTGACACATCCCCACACGCCTGCGTGGTTATGCTCTTGGTGTCCATTTCGCAGCAAAAAGCTTCAGACTTCCATTGCATATTACCGCAGATGGGCCGACAAGTCAGGCACTCGGCACCTGGTGGCAAAAATCGCCTTCTGAAAACAAGCCAACACACCGTAAACACCATGCCTTTCGGCTCTTGATGCGAAAAAAAACTGAACACAATGCGCAGGAGCAGTCAACAGGTGTAGATGCGAATGAAAAACCATAGGATTGGACTTGCCCGAAACATGCCTTCTGAAAAAAGCAAAAACACCGCAAACACCGTGTTGTTCGCTTCTTGATGCGCAAAAACCTTTGCAAATAGACACATTCCAGCAAGGGTCCGCACGGTACAACCAACACGCAGCAGCAGTCCGCAGGTGTAGGAAACACTGTAAATACCATAGGATTCGACACTTCCGCATGCAATAACAAAACCTACCCGGCCTTTGCATCGACTCTGAGCCCGGAACAGCGCGGCAAGACCCACACTTCTTTCGGCACCAAGCCCTGGCACAAGCCGCGTACCGAAGACAAAACGCAGATGGACGAAGCCGCAAAGCTGCCGAGGCCTGAAGGAAGCCAAAGCTACTGCACCGAGCGGTGAGATGTCTTGCAGGCTGATCTTCCCGTCGCTGTCCCTTGGGAAGCAACACGAAATGTGCATGGGGATCTAGTTGTCTCAGCCAAGGCGGCCCCTAAGCTGGAGGCGAATCTAGTGTCGTCCACAACGAAGGCATGTGCACTTGATAGTCCTAAAATCTTCACTGACTCAAACACTCCATCCTCGACCAGCCTCTTTCCGTCTCTTTGCCGAGGCTTTTGCAAGTTCGTGCTGCCGACAGAAGTGCCGAAGAATCCTGGGAATGCTGCAGCATTGCGGCATGATCGGCCCGTACTCGAGGAGTCTGCAAACCAGGGGCAGCTTGTCCGCAAAGAAATGGCCATCGGGATCGATTCCTCGTCTCCATGCTCGGGCCTTTCGACATGCTTTCTTGGATCCGATGCTCACAGGAGCTGCAGATCCGTCAATCTCTGTAGCTAGGGCTAGAAGTAGGACTGCGTAGCTCGACTATTAGAGCGAATGCAGAAGCCAAAAAGAGAATGACCACTCAAGCCCTGAGGCTAGAGTAATTCCAGTTTACCAAGCAAAGGGCGCATGACCCGTACTTCTCGCGCAGGAATTTCCTGGCCAAGACAAGTTCTGCATCACAGCGGCTCAAGTCGAAAACATGCTGGCAGCTCAGGAACTTTGACTTCGACTGCCGCTGCGTTCTTCGCGCCTGGCGCTCAGAGTTGTTCTCAGACCAAGGATAAAACTGAGCTTCGCTGCACCTCGCGCAAACGATGTTGACCTCTGCAAGGCACACATGGGGATCATGGAGCATGCCTTTGATCTGCTTCATGCACATCGTGGGCACTCATGGGCAGCGGCGCTGTACGATAACCAACGGCGGAAGGGCCTCAAAAGCTTTGGCCATCCACGGCCTGGCATCTAGCAAGGCAGGAATGAACACGAACGAACTCTCCATGTGGCACCGTGCTGCATGTGTGTGTGTGTGCACACAGATGCATGCCAACCCTAGTGTAGCCACTTGTCGCAGATGAATGATGCCCGTCATGATGTACATAGCTCCAAAATGATCTCGCTATTTCGGAAAAGCGAAACCTTCACGTGGCCAATGAATGTTGCACTCACGTGTAGACATGGATGTGTTTGCGAAGACTCACCCGAGGTCTCAAGCCTGTTTGTCTGCTTGCACTTTCAAAGGCAAGAACCCAGTCAATGAAGCAAAGGGCCTTCCGCTCAACCCAGGCCAAACTAACGTCAGAATTTACGATGTGTGCTCCAGGTGGGCGTGCGGCAGAATGGAAGGACAAGCTGAAGTGGTCCCCCGGAGGACTCGTTTCCAAGTTTCTGACAACCGGCATCTCCACGCCGGAGCTTCTGTTCCCAAGACATGAGGGAGATCCTAACTTTGCTTGGCGTTGCCATCTTGAGCGACGTGCTTGCAAAAAGAAGTCTCATTGGAAGTTGAAGGTCCGTATGAGCCTTCAGTCCCTTGACGTACTTCTAGAGCTCCGTGGCATGGGGCTGAGCCAATGGGCAACATTGACACTAATAATACAGACATATCGCTCAGAATGGCCCCACAATGACATGATCCAGTACCAGATCGCTCCCCTATCCTGATCCGCCCCGTATCTGAACTAACAGTGAGAATCTATGGTCTCCAGTTGCACCTTACACAGGAGGCCAACTGACTGATTCACCTCCTACCAGCTGCTTCCACATCACGAAATCGACGATTGAACTAAGAATGCAGTTCTGTCGATAGCGAAACAGAGTCGATGCATCTACACACACACACACCTTGACCTGTTCTCTTGTGCATCCAAACTCCAAGTGTCGAACTGATGACCAGAAGCTTCGAAGATGTCCAGATGTCCTCCAAAAGCTCCGAAAACCTTGAAGACCCAAAGATTTCGAAAGGCCGCAAGAGGCAAACACCCCAAGAGCAAACTTCTCATCGTGTGTTGGATCACCGTGCGTATGCTGTTATGACGTATTCCGCTTCGAAGTTAAAACTCTGGAGGCCCTTCACGATACACTCAAGAAGATGGACAAACCCTTTGAGTTTCCGACTCTGTGTGTGCGTGTGAGTGTGTGTGACAACTCCCGGTCGGCACGAGGGATGACGCAAGTCCTAAGCCGCATGCTCGTGCTCAGCTAGAGTTATGAGATTTTCGGGCGGCCGCGCATTGTAAATCACCGCACAATTATTGCACAGTTTGATGTTTTCGCGGTTGCATGTTTTTGGTGTCGGGATCTTGTTGGCATGCTTCTGTGTGTGTGTGTGTTTTTCTGTGTGCTGGTAGGCTTTGGTGCTTTGGCCGGCATTTCTTGTGTGCCCTATTAGTACTTGGCAGCCCATCTGTCTTCCTGATGGCCTCTGCTCTGCCAAACAGCTGAAACGCGGAGATGCTCATGAATGTCGTGTGTCAACAGGCGTAAGGTGCGTGGCAGCAACGACACTTCGCTCCAGGAAACAAGGCTATGCACTGACTGGAGGCGTGTCCACATCCTGTTTAGCACCTGTCAGCATGCATTGCGATTTGCCGAATGTTGAGATACTGCTCGCACATCCTACCAAACTCCATGGGATGGAGGGCGGAGAGAGGGCAAAAGAGGGGGGGAACGGGGGGACCGAAACTCAACACCGAACTCCAAATTTAGGGATGAGGGTCCAGCAGGAGCGCCAAAAAACATCACAAAGCACACAAACAATACGCAAAACAAGGCATGCTCCGAAACCCTGGAAAAATCTGGAAATTCCACAGGTCCGGACCTGCAACCTGGATTTGGCCTGTGTTTGGCGCTTTTTGGCATGCGCTTGCTGGTTTGTTTGGTGCTTTATTGGAGTTCCTGTTGAGATGTATTTGGAGTCCAAGTTTGGCGTTCTTCTTCACGGTGTCAGGTGGGCCCGGGGCCGATCGAGTACGGATGGAGGGTTCTTTGCACTCCTTACAGTGCCGCTCTGGCTAGTTTCGCAGATGTTTCTCAGTGGTACTCAAGGTTTCTTAAGCGAATGAACCCAAGCCCAGCAGGGGCTTTCTGATGCGCGCTACAACTCATAGAAACGGGAACGACTGCACATATTGGAAAGCGTCGAATACATCCAGCAAATATATTCGTGAAAACACAACTTAACACAACGCCAACAAACATCAAAAGCAACGCCAACACATACCATACTCACAGAAAAACACAGAAACACAACACTCGAAACACATCCCACAGTTAAGCACAAAACAAAACACGAATAACACCACAACACAGCTGGTATGCCACCAATTGTCCCCAGCCCCGGAAGAGAAGAGGACGTGACCAGGCACTTCCTGGGCACCATAGTGTGCAGTGGATTGTCACAGGGACAGGACCCTCTGTCGCGACGACAACAAAGGTCATCCTCCTCCTGACCCAGATCCTCCAGATGTCCGGAATCATTGAAAAACATTCCAGTGTGTTCGGCTGATGATTCTGATTACACAGTGGCTGAGATGGAAGCAATTCAATAATGGCTCATGTGTGAGAATCAATCAGTCCACAACTTAGTTTCACCAGGAATCTGTGTGTGGCAAATTCTGCTTCCGAGAAGCATGAAGGAGCTCTTTGCTCTGGTTAGCTGTGCAATCTTGAACACGCTGAGTGGTTCGACGATGTTCGACGGTTCATTAATTAGCAGGGGGCAGGAGTATGCTTTGCGACTCGACTCGCGCCAGCGGAGACAATTTCATTGCGTAGTCATGTTTCGAGAGGACGCATTCTGAAGTATGTCCAGCAGATGTTTGCGGAAAAAATCGGAAAAACATTCAGTGGAAGCTGAAGGTCCGAACGGGCGCTTAGGTCTGACATGTCTGTCTAGAGCTTCGTGGCGTGGGGCTAAGTCAAGAACCGCAAGAATGACGAATTCGAAAAGAACGACAATCCCTTAGAAAGACTTCCCCCTGCATGTTTCTTTGTTTTTGTGTGCGCGCGTGCGCGCGTGCATGCAGGCTCTCGTTGAAGCCAGTTTCAGGTGCTGGGCCTCGGTGCCGTCCTGCTCAAGGGAGAATGGCCCTTGTGCCTTCGCTTCGAGAGCAGCTACCGGCAGCCCTGCATCCAATGCCCCCAATAGACAAAGCAAGAAGCAGCTCTGACCAGTAGACAGATGCCCACAGCCTCAGCGACTCCAAAAGCATGAGCAGGCTTAGTAGCGAAGAAGACACCGAGGCATTCACCGCTCTACTTGACCCTTTGACTTCATCTTCTCCTCGAAGATAGCTTTGTCCCTCGCCTCCATCTGTTGCTGCATGGGGTCTTCTTGGTGTGTTGGGATACGGCCTGGCTGTCCGTCTCCAAGAAGAGGATCTCCTTGCATCGGTCGATGTAAGTTGCTGGGGACACTCCAGCTGTACACAAGGCTCTCGCGCACAAACGGCAAACGGAACGGAGCGATTCGTAGATGTGCAACTGTGAACATCATGAACGATGAGCAGTTACGAGCCTGACATGCTACCATATTGGAGCGAAGGACGTAAACCGCATTTGCAAATGAAATCCCAGCGCTCACAGGTTTGTGCAGATTTTAGCCTGCTATGTATCGGGCTTGGAAGCTTTGGGTCTGCAAAGCCAACAGGCCCTGAACAGTGTTTGGGTTCAAGAGAACCATGACAAATCACCTCCGCCATAGACGTTACTGGAGTAAAGGACTGAGGCTCTTCTTTGTTGATGCTGCCGCCCTCGTCGATGTCGACGAACTGCGGCGTTCCACAACTGTCTCGCTCCGCACATGGAAACTCCGGCCTGGAACAGATAGTGTAGCTCTTCGACCTCGGAAGGTCGAAACATGCCGGCGCATGTCACTACCAGCCTTCAGACTGTCAGAGATCTTCAGAGTAAGACCTGTCATGCAGTTAGCTCTCATGGGTACCAGGCGGTCCCGTCAAAGCCCGCTGCCAAGCAAGATGACGTCCAACCTCTAAAAGAAGGCTTGTCAACTTCAGCAGTCCACGTCCTCGTCTGGAGTCATGTTACTGGGTTACAGATCCTTGGAACATCAAACACGGTCTTTGGCCTGCTCGGTCCAGACTGCCTGTTTGCTTTGCGTCGATGACATTCCAGACGTCTGCCTCGCGCCACAATGTCGTGCAGAAGCAAGCTCACAAGGGGAAAGTTGACCATCGAGGCGCCGGAGACCCGAACTTCTCCTTGATCCACTCCCGAACCCGCCGAACAAGGTCGCCGTCCTTCTTAGACAGATCCTGCCGTGTCACAATCAACGCCAGGCTGGGTTTTCCGTGCTTTCCCGTCCTCCAAGGTAAGACTCTCTGCGCTGGGACCGACAATGTTTCGAGCACTCAGCTCCTGGCTTGTCAAAATCACTCGTGTGGCGACACTTCGCCCATTCCGTGCTGTCGCGTGCTGCTCGTGCCATCTCGTGCGTGGCATGCTGTATGCTGTAGGACCGTTGCAGCAACTAAGTGGCTGCGGAGCAAAATGCTCATCATGCCAGCCGCGCAAGAAGGCCAAGCCGTCGCAAGTGCCAGTCGAGCTCCTGAAGCATGCAGGTTGGTGCAAATACTCCCGACGAGCGACAAACGTGAGTAGACTGCCACCTTGCATCAATTTTCGAAACTGCGAAATAAGCCATCATGCCATGTTTGTGGCTGATCCCCGGGGCCTGAGCAAAAAACAAGACTATGCTCCTTATCTTTATCTTCAAAGGCTCGAGGAATGGTCAACACATTTTCGCTGGAACATGGTCTGCCGTCAAGCCTCAGGCATTCTTTATTAATGCACAGTATTGGAAGCATGAAGACGAGCAGCTGGCCTTCAACTCGACATCCATCGAACCTGACTTGCCAAGCTTGCAGGCAGGGTCCAGCGTGACGCTGTGCACCGGTTTCGCTGACGCTATGCTACTACTTGCACTGCATGTTCTACTGTGTTCCTTCAACTGCCCGTCCACTAAATCCAGAATCTGGCAAGTCAGTCGCAAACCATCTGGATCCAGTTCTCGTCGCCATCCGACGAGAAAGTAGCCACCTCCGGCCGCACGGGCTAGGCCGCACCACTGTATGTCTTCCAGTACTTGTACTCCATCATGCTTGTGGTATCCGGTCTGCAGCAATACTGCAGCTTGCCTCCCTTGTCGGTAAGGGTTGAGATGAGGGCATGTCGTTCTTTGGCCTCAGGGGCTGACTTGCTCGGCAGTTGTTGCTGTAAGGGAAGCGTTGCACGAGATTCCACCTGCACTCATCTGCAGTGCCTTTCCTGCTGAGGTCGCTGCCCTTCTCAACTCTTGGCTCTGCTCCTCCAGCAATGCAGACTTCCGCCTGAGGCCCAGCACACACACACACACACACGTCAAAGAGAAACAGTAGCAACCCATCAGCATCACCGTCATCATCACTATCATCACCATCACCATCACAAACAGCAACAGCAACAACAATTGCACCATCAACAACAACCACAAGGTCAACAGCAGCAGCAACAACAACATCATCAAAAACAACAACGACGACGACGCCCACAACCACAAGCACGGTCACAACCAGAACCACAACCACGACGAACAGCAACAACAGCAGTTTCAACAGCAAGAACAGCACAAAACCGGCAGCCTCACAGCCGCCAAAGACTCGGTCATCACGCGCCATGCAGCGAAGCTGTGCGAAATGCTACATGCCGAAGCGGCTACTTATCAGCCTGTCTACGAGTCTACATACTGACTTCATTGGGCAGCACAGATGTTCGTAGTTGTGCGCAGAACTTCATCACGAAGTGGCATGCAAATTCGGCGTCGATCATTGATTACATAGTTTCCTGCACGACTGCACGATCCTGCCTGACCCTATGTTGCGAACTAATTAATGAATACCTTGCACAAGAACCACCAACAAACGAGCAAACGCCTGCTGTTCAAGAAGCATTGCTTCGTGGTATAAACTTGTACAGCTGACGAACGGGATGCTGGCTTTTTGCTATTGAAATTTGCCTGAGAGCAAGCCGCCGCATAAATCGACAGGCGTGTGCAGGATTGTGGAGAAGACAATTTTGCCCCGTCCAAAAGCTGCAGAGGGCTATCTGAAAGCAGGAAGCTTCGCAAAGACCGATAAAAAGTATGAAACTGATGGAGCGAATGCAAAGCTTCCGGCATTGGACTACCCGAGTGGTTTTGTACAGTGTCGCTGCAGGTCATGCATGTAAACAAAGCGACGAGCGGCGCATGTGCTATTTGTCACTTCATCCAACCTCGGGTGGCAGCGCAGATTGACGTCTGAGCGGCGCTGCCCTAGGCAAGAGTCGACCCGCCTCCATGGCCGCGTTGTCCCCTTCGGGCAGTGCCTGAAAAGTGATACACCTTCGTCCCGGCAACTGACTCTGAGGACTCAGGACCTGACCTTCCATTGGATGCCAAGCGTGTTGAGCGGCTTGCGCTCGTCATCGACGTAGACATAGCTCATGTTGGAGAGAGAGATTGGGGGTCGCTCTTGCCACACCACAGTCGGATCCCTGGGTGCGGCGAGCCCTGCAACGCCCGAGACAGGGACACCGAGGCCCGCCGTCGCTTGCACTGGCGCCGGCAGCGCTGGCAAGCTCGGACCAGGTGGGCCGTCCTTAGCCACATCGTCGACTTTTTTTGCGCGCGCACACGTTCTAGAGCATGTCAGAGGGACGGACCAGAGGCACGCTCTTCGCTTCTGGCTGTGCCTGAATGCGATATCTCGCACCCGTCGCTCTACATGCTTTCTTCTGCAATGCCTGGCCTGGCAAGACCTGGCCTGCAGGGTGTCCTCGGTCGATTTTGCTCTTGTTCTGAGATTTTCTCCAAAGGTGAATGTCGCCTGAACTGTTGGTCAATTCAACAAACACCAGAGAAACACCCCCCCAACAGATTCAAGAGTATCGTGAACTAGCATTTCTGAGCAGGCAGCTGCAGGAGTCGCAATGATATTAGTCGTAGTAGCAGTGGTGATAGCAGAATCAGCAAAAGCAGCAGAAGAGGTGGTGGTAGTAGTAGTAGCAGTAGTGGTAGTGGTGGTAGTAGTAGTAGTGGTAGTAGCGGTAGTACCAGCACTAGTAGTAGTAGTAGTAGTAGTAGTAGTAGTAGTAGTAGTAGTAGTAGTAATAGTAGTAGTAGTAGCAGTAGTAGTAGTAGCAGTAGTAGTGGCAGTGGCAGTCGCAGTAGAAGAAGTAGAAGCAGTAGCAGTAGCAGTAGCAGTAGTAGTAGTTGTTGTTGTGGTAGTAGTAGCAGTAGTAGTAGTAGCAGTAGTAGTAGTAGCAGTAGCAGTAGCAGTAGCAGTATCAATATCAGTAGCAGTAGCAGTAGTAATAGTAGTAGTAGTAGCAGTAGTAGTAGTAGTAGTAGTAGTAGTAGTAGTAGTAGCAGTAGTAGTAATAGCGGCAGTGGCAGTGGCAGTAGAAGCAGTAGAAGCAGTAGCAGTAGCAGTAGCAGTAGCAGTAGCAGTAGTAGTAGTCGTCGTAGTAGTATAGTAGAAGTAGTACTAGTAGTTGTTGTAGTAGTAGTAGCAGTAGCAGTAGCAGTAGCAGTATCAATAGCAGTAGCAGTAGCAGTAGTAGTAGTAGTAGTAGAAGTAGTGGTCGTAGTAGTAGTAGTAGTAGTAGAAGTAGAAGTAGAAGTAGAAGCAGTAGTAGTAGTAGTAGTAGTAGTAGTAGTAGTAGTAGTAGTAATAGTCATAGTAGTAGTAGTCGTCGTCGTAGTAGTAGTCGTAGTAGTCGTAGTAACAGTCAGCAACAGTAATAGCAGTAGTAGTGGCAGTAGCAGTAGCGGTAGCAGTAGCAGTGGCAGTGGCAGTGGCAGTCGAAGTACCAATAGCAGTAGCAGTAGTAGTAGTTGTTGTAGTAGTAGTAGTAACCCCCTACCAACTACATTTGCTCTTAAGCATGTTAAGTCAAGGTCCATTTTACTTTGTATTTACAGCATTTTTGTCGTGTAGGATCATCTTGTGAAGCCTCAAAATCGAGTTTTTCGAGTTTGCAAACTCAAGCTTCGGATTCTGGGGGAGAGGGGGGAGGGGAAGATGATGACGTCATTGTTACGCAAACACCCCGAACAATCTCTCCAGAAAAGCCGTCTTACTCGGTATTTACAGTACCTTAGTGATGTCTGACCATCTTATATAGTCACCAAACCTACTTCTAGACTTTGCGAACTCGATCTTGGATTTTCGGAAAGGCGAAAACTCGAAATTGGGTGGGGGGAAGCTTTTAAGCTTTTCGGTGATGATCACGACACTGTTTCGCGGACACCCCGAACAACACGCCAGCGTGCACACACCACACCACACACCACTTCAAAAACAAACCCTCTTGCGCCGAAGTCTGGCTTTAGGCGTGTTGGCGAGCCCCTCCACATGCAGCTGCTGTTGATGCTTATAAGATGTTGCGCTGCAAGTGTTAGGAGTGTCATACTATCCGACCACCTGTAGTTTGGCAGCTTCTTCCCCGTCGAGTTTGCAACTCCGCAGTTTTGCGGCCTGAGCCTCTGCAGCTTCACTGGCTGTGACAGTTAAGCAACATGAGCCTCTGCAACTTCTGCAGATGTCACACACCTCCATCTTCTGCAGCTGTCGCAGATAGGGAGCCAAGCCTAGAAGCTGCCACTGCCCAGCCCGGATGGAGCAAGTGTGGTCGTAGTAGTAGCAGTAGTTGTTGTAGTCAGTGTGCCGGCAAACGACAGCCGATCAGCGACCAAAACTGTACATGCAAACTTGCTAATCTGGACCGCTTGCACTACTTGGGGGGAGGGAAGCGGCAATCTTGGCAGTCTTGGTGACCAAAATAACCAAGATTGCAGCACCCCTCAAGTGATGCAAGTGGTCAAGATTAGCAAGATTTCAGCAAAAACGATCGGCTCTAAATTGCCGGCACAAAATAGCAGTAGTAGTAGCAGCAGTAGCAGTAGCAGTAGCAGTAGCAGTAGCAGTAGCAGTAGTCGTCGTCGTCGTAGTAGTAGTAGTATTACTACTAATAGTATTAAGAGACCCGGTGCCCTGCAAGTGCTTGGATTCCAGGAAATAATTATTTCGTGAGTTTGAGTGTGAGGTTGAGTGTGGGCGAAAGTGTGAGCGAAAGTGTGAGCATGAATTTCCAGCCCATCGGGAAGTGTGAGGTTGAGTGTGAGGTTGAGTGTGAGCGAAAGTGTGAGCATGAATTTCTAGCCCATCGGCAAGTGTGAGGTTGAGTGTGAGAAAAGTGTGAGCGAAAGTGTGAGCGAGAGTACTGGGGGGTGGGGGTGGGGTGGTGGGGGTGGGTGGGGGGGTGGGGGTGGGGCAAGGGGTGGGTGGGGAGGGCGCCCACACTCCCGCCCACACTCCCACTCCCGCCCACTCCCCCGCTCACACTCCCGCTCACACTCCCGCTCACACTTTTCTCACACTCCCGCTCACACTTTTTCCTTGTAAAACGAAGGAAAAAGTTAGCGGGAGTGTGAGCGGGAGTGTGAGAAAAGTGTTAGCGGGAGGGGTGGGGGTGGGGTGGTGGGGGTGGGTGGGGGGGTGGGGGTGGGGCAAGGGGTGGGTGGGGAGGGTGCCCACACTCCCGCCCACACTCCCACTCCCGCCCACTCCCCCGCTCACACTCCCGCTCACACACGCTGTGAGCGGGAGTGTGAGCGGGAGTGTGAGAAAAGTGTGAGGGGGAGTGTGAGCGGGAGTACTGGGGGCTGGGGGTGGGGTGGTGGGGGGGGGTGGGGGGGTGAGGGGGAGTGTGAGCGGGAGTACTGGGGGCTGGGGGTGGGGTGGTGGGGGGGGGGTGGGGGTGGGGCAAGGTGGGCGCCCTCCCGCACACTCCCACTCCCGCCCACTCCCCCGCTCACACTCCCGCTCACACTCCCGCTCACACTCCCGCTCACACTTTTCTCACACTCCCGCTCACACTTTTCTCACACTCCCGCTCACACTTTTTCCTTGTAAAACGCAGGAAAAAGTGTGAGCGGGAGTGCGAGCGGGAGTGTGAGAAAAGTGTGAGCGGGAGTGTGAGCGGGAGTACTGGGGGGTGGGGGTGGGGTGGTGGGGGTGGGTGGGGGGGTGGGGGTGGGGCAAGGGGTGGGTGGGGAGGGCGCCCACACTCCCGCCCACACTCCCACTCCCGCCCACTCCCCCGCACACACTCCCGCTCACACTCCCGCTCACACTTTTCTCACACTCCCGCTCACACTCCCGCTCTCAACTCACACTTCCGCTCACATCCCCGCTCACACTCAACCTCACACTTCCGCTCACACTCTCGCTCACACAAAACCTCACACAAATAATGTTTTCAGACCATCCCAAGGGTTGCAGGGACTGGGACTCATAAGAATAAGTAGTAGTAGTAGTAGTAGTAGTAGTAGTATAGTAGTAGTAGTAGTAGTATAGTAGTAGTAGTAGTAGTAGTAGTAGTCGTAGTAGTAGTAGTAGTAGTAGTAGTAGTAGTAGTAGTAGTAGTAGTAGTAGTAGTAGTAGTACTAGTAGTAGTGGCAGCAGTAGCAGGAGCAGTAGCAGCAAGGTACTAGGATTGCCAGCAGCAGACATCCGATTCTGACCAAACTCAAAGCGCGAACGCCCTGTCTAAACCATGGGTCATGGGTCCCCTCAATTCAGGCCTACTGTGCAGTGCAGAGCTAAGCCAGGTCAGCTGTACTAAGACCGCAACTGAACCAGAGCCGTTTGGGAGCGACAGCCGCAGCCCCACTGGTCTCGTACCCAGTGCTCGCAGAGTCTTGGGAGGTGGTTGCCTTCAGCAGACGTGCGAAGCAGAGGCAAGAGGCACGATTTCTCGGCTCCGCACCGTGCGGACTCACCGAATGGCAGTGTCTCCTGATAGCACTTCACGGAGGACCAGCGTTTGATCTCACAAGATAAGACACAGCTTCTCACATGGTTCAGTACAGAATAAGATTCGCATGGCCACAACTCAGGACATACCCCGAGAAACCTTCAAGGAGTCGCAAAGGGTGTGGAGCCCCATGAGTACCACAAATTCTCCAGTGAACAAGCCTTCAGCAAACCCTTCCAAGATCCAGCGCCCCGGCGGGAAGTTTCTGCAGAGTTTGTAAGTTTGGAGTTCTTGAGCCTTGGGGGCGGACTCGGACATCCCTTCCATTCGTGCTGCCTTGAGTCAGCGGCCGCATGGTGCCATAGAGGCTCAACAGGTCGACAACGCAAAGTCGACACTTTTCTAGCAGTCTAGCATCTGACCGATGCCCAGAAGCCCTTTCCGGCACACCCCCTCTTGATGAAGCTACGACGTTGAGTTACGATTCAATCTCTGGCAACACAGGGCATGTTGATAACCGTTTTCTACACGTACGTCTAAAAACCAGGTATCAACATGCTGCATGCTCCCTTGAATGTGCGCAGCCCTGCGTCAAAGCATCAGCTCCAAAGCTTCACCAGTGAAAGCTGAAAAGTCGCATCATGTCACATTTGCAACATCAATGAGTCCTCATGCGTCTGCCCCCCGGGTAGCTCCGTAGCAAAAGTCATCTGCTTCGTCAAGTTCCTGGAACATGCACCGTGGCACTCACTTGGGCTCGGATTTGTGCAGGTGGCACAGCTGGCGGTGTGTTCGGGAACAGCGAAGGTGTGAAGTCACCAACTGCAAGTAAGTCTTCGACACCAGCGCTTCCAGCTTGCGCTTGTGCCTTAGATCGTGCTTCTGGACTGGGGATGAGATTGTACAAAGGCCCCATTCAGTCTGAGATGAGTCCGAGGCACCCTTGCCGAACACTGCCCTCCCATTCACTCAGCTCTGACTCGTCAGCGTCTGTCTCGTAGCCAGCCTCCGCGGCTGAGGCTTCACAAATGTGCAAAGTATTCTCTCTCGCTCCCGGGCATGAGGGGGACGTTCAAATCCCCCGGGCTTCAAGCCGACCCGATCGTGTTGAGATGTGGGGAGTGACGAGCGAGCGTGGTTCATTGCAAGGCGAAAACTGCAAAGTATACATTTCAGGCTACAACTATCCACAACGAACGTTAGCTCTCAAGAACATCGAACTTTGGTTTGCAATATTTGCGTAGAGTGGGAAGTCTGGGAAAGAAGACTGATTTCAAAACATTCTTCCCCCTTTACAGATCGCTCCTGACTTTCCACATCTCAGGTCGGGTGAAAAACATGGTCATCACACATGTTTCCCCCAATCAGGAGAGCGTCGGATGTCATAAGGACTCTTCAGTCAGATGCTTCAGATGGCTGGGAATGCCCTTCGCTTTCTTCCGTTGCCGCTGAGGTTCTGAACGAGAAGAGTGCATCGCATGGTGTGGGCGAGCCAAACCAAGTTTTAATCATGTGGCCGGGCGGTGACCGGTAGGGTAGGTGTCTTCAGCACTGAGCTTTCTGCTCTGTTCGGCATGGCACTCCAGAAAACAACAATGCCGACGACCGGTCGTGCGCACCGAGCACTGGCGTCCCCGCAACAGCGCTTGCAGAGTGGTCGAAAAGTCCGCATGTGCTTTGCAGAGCAGCTCTGCAGCCCGGCATGAGAGCGGTACTTCACTTCTCCAACGTGCCACCCTCTCAAACCGGCCTCGTAGCCGCTGTCGTCTGTGTTCGAAGACCAGCCTGGATGCTGCAAAAAACACTCTTGTGGCATGACTGGGCAAGCAAAGAGGGAGGCTCCGGCCCAAGTGCTCACCTGGGCAGACCTAAAGTAACAAGAATTCACCGGTCATTACCACCCTCGCGGCGACAGCATGACTTGGGGATCTTCTCCGTCTGAGCTGTCAGCCAGGCTTCCACCGGAGGCGCTGCGCAGGACACCTGCGTTGACTGCAGGCTGCAGAAGCTCCTCAGGGTCTCAGATATGTCAATGAAGCCTTTAAAACTCCGTCTCTTCATGTCTCTTGCCACTTTGGCATCTCCTTCAAGCGACCGCGCCTCCGCTTCTCCTGCGCAGGTGACGTCGCACAAGCGGGGGTCTGCACTCGAGGTGTCGCTGCACATACAAATGCCATGCCCACGCATGGCGGCAACTCTTCCTGAGAATTGAGGCTAGGGTTCACGGCTTCTGGATCTTGATTTGGACTATAGCAACTGAATTCAACGGGAACAGTCAAAGACTTCGCATCGTGTCGCTGGTTGGTATCTCTTCTGCTGGGATATACTGCACGCTCCTGCCCAACAGGAAGCTGGTCTGTGAAAGCTTACCTCTCGAGCACCTTGTGATCCTAAAGTTTACGCCTGCCTCCTCGAATCAACTCGCATCAGAGCATCTAATACTGGAGTGTTAGTGCGCAATACTGCACCATCTAATCTATCGGAAGAAGACCGCAAATGTGCTCAGGTAGAGCTGCAGCTCCTTGGACAAGCGGCGGTAGCTCCGGGCCATGGACAGGACCTTAGGACAAAGCACTACAGTCACTAAAAGGGGCAGGCAGGCTCTCCTAAGCTCTCCGAGGCATCAAGGCAACTTACTAAGCTCTCCTCAAGGTGCTGCTTTGGCCGACATGCACGATTTGTCTTTCCTAGCGCATTTCCAGCCCGAGCTCATTCATGTATGATAGTATGTCGGCCTCCACCTCTATTGACTCTACTGCATTGCTGCTATCGTCTCTTACATTTTACTCATTTGCTACGCTGCTGCGCTACTCTTTATGACCCATTATGTTCCCAATCGCCATGATGCTTTGGCATAGTGCTTCACTACTTAATGCTTCATACTCAATGTTGACACTTCTGTTCGAGCCTACTATTCTGCTCGTCTCGTATGAATTCCAGCTCAATATCTATTGCTTGCTGGTTTGCCAATAGAATTTATGTTCTGCTGTCTAGATCAAGATCAACCGCCAGGGTGGGTGCTTAAGATGTGCGCGTGCGTTCCACTCCCCCGAACCGTCTGTATCCACTCTGCACATATCTCATATCACCTATATACCATTTTATAAGTACTTTTCTCATAAACCTTCGACTTCGATCGATCTAGGACTCTCTACCAACAACTAGCAGTTGCTTATTCTTCCAGCTTTCTTTTTGATACTTTTCGAGCTTCATATTCCTTCTTGTACTTTGCCATGCTGTTATTGCGCTAGTTCGGTCGCTCCGCACGCCTCGCACTTGGCCGGACAGGCCGTAAGGGGCCCCCAACTTTTGCATGTCGGCCTCCAGTGCCGCAAGATCTACAAGCCCGGACAAAGGACACGGAAAGCCCATTTGTAATGTCAACCTGAATTTTTTCCTCTGGTTGGAAACGGAGTTGAATCCAACTTCCTTCGCAAGTTTGCCCTCGCTAGCCATCTCTTCGGCGTGCACAGCGTTATGACTCACCCCTTGTTACTGCACTGCTTGCATGTGTGCTATGCGCAGAAATTGTGACTTTTCTGCGCTGAACAAGCAATTTGTAATAGAGAATAACAGTAACACGTCTGTCCAGCATGACAGGGCCTTCCACACCCGAGCGTGCATTGTTCAGGGCTGGGGTCCATTCCATTCTTTCTGGCTCACTCCTTTCCGGGCTTACTGCTGCTGTTAATTAGGGTTCAAGGCCTGGGAGGTTTCTCGGTTTCTCCTTTTGGGCATTTTGGGTATTACAGTCTAGAATTTACGGTGGTCTTAAAGCTTCATCAGGGAGTATGGATGCTGCGTAGAAGGGTGTAGGGCTGGGGGTTCAAGTGGTTTAAGGCCAAGGAGGTGCTAAGGTCGAGAGTGGGGTTGAGATTGGGTTTGAGGCTCAGGGATGCTTATCTGCGTTAATTTTTATGGTTTGGGTCAGGGTCTAGGGTTTGGGCTTTGGCTGTGGCCCACTCCTGTTCACTCCTTTTGCGGTTCACGGCTTGGGCACCATCCTGTCCAGGGTCCCCTGCTCATTGCAGTGTTTAAGTAAGCTTATTGACTGGCTTGGGTTTGGGCTAGGGTTGGGGTGCTGTTACGGTTACAGTAAGAGGAGTTGCGGTTAAGATTCGTTGGTGTTTGGCTGGGAGGCCTGGGTTGGGGCCTCGAGAGGTTTATGCAGATCTTCAGACTGACGGTAGAAGGCCTTGATGTGCGTTAAGAGCTAGGCTGAAGTGACACAGTGGCGAAGGCTAGCGCGTGAGCGCTCGCGGCGGTGCCTCTTTGGAAGGAGGTTCCAAATTGTCATCAACGTCACAGCCAAAGTCTACCAGACTGCCAAGAAAAAGTTCTCTTGCCAGATGTTAAAGTCTTGTTTTTTGAGCAACCTTGATTTGTATCGCGCTCGACAGTTCCTCTGATACTCTACAAAGAAAGTGTATGAACGGATGCGTGCGAAGTTTAAACCGGCAACGGAGGCCTGAGATCCAAAAACCGCATCCAATGCACTCCTAGCCAAGCACCGCCGGAAGAAGGTTCCGCAGCTTCCACTGAAACTCCCAGCAAATGGACGCCAATCAATGGACGTTGGCCACCAAAAGCATCCGTCTGAGATGCCGGCCCAGCTGGAGGAGGAACCCGCCCCTGGCTTGATCTGCGCCTCTCAAGACGACCGCGTCGCTTCGTGCTGCCGCACCTCGCCCTTCGCCCCCTTTCGGCCTTGGCGGCCATGGTCTCATAGAAGCGCCTGGCGAATGCACTTGCGGCATCCGATCCGGCACTCTCCAGACTGGCGGGAGCACTCGAGCCCCGGCAAGGCCGACCTCGGCCACGAAAGTGGCGACAAATGTCGCGCCCCGAATCTCCGCTCGCTTCTACTGCACTCTTCGTACTCTTCGTCTTCCACTGCACTCTACTGCAAAGGGGATGAAAACCTGGGCCCAGAGCTGCAAATTTTCGTCCTCAGTATCTTCGATGTTGACAGAAGACTCGCTGGGACCTGTTTGTCGTCAACGAACCTGCCGCCTGCTCTCTAAGGGCAGAGGCACTGGGCACTGGCCTTCCGATACGTAGCCCTCTCGCAGGCACCTTCTCTTTTCAGCACCGATTGCCAAGGCCTGGGCTTGGCCAAAAAAACCGTGCTCAGCAACCAAAAGTGCGCTGCATGCAGACAGGTGGGCTGCAGATCTCAGAAAGGGTGATGGCTCTGCGAAAGCAGGAACCTCCGAGTGACATTCTTTATTTACAATGTACCGGTGCAGGCACAACCTGAAACAATCTTCGATTCTGGCTTTCGAGCTTGCCTCCGGCCAGCCATCTTTCTTGGGCGGATGTGTTTGGCCTTAGATGGGCACCCGCCTGTATGCTGGAGATGCAAAGAAAGACGGTTCATGACGGGTGTTCCATCGAGCAAGTCAATACTGTGCAGCGCGCTCAAGCCTGTAGATGAAGCCTTTTGGACGCTCAATCCTGAGGATGGAGCTGCCTCGCATCGAATGCTCGAGAACTCTGGCTCTCACTCTCTCTGACTCTGTGCCCAGCCTCACCCATCTGCCCATCATGCGCTGTTCACGCATGCTGGCACAAGCCAATGCGATGCCATCTTACCACTTCCACGAGCTGTCGACAGGCTGGCTGGTGCTTGGGAAGAGATTCGACATGTGCTCAACCCTGGTTGCAAAGGACATAGTGGGTATTGGTGTAGAAAGCATCCCCTATGAGTGGAACTCGATCAGTGAGCCACAAGTTCAAGTCCATCTGCATCCAGCAGGGCCGAATTCGCAACCTTGCGCTTTTTTGCCTGAAGCCAACCATAATAATGCAGTCTGTTTTTCTAGCATGCCTGCGAGTGGTCGAAGGTCGATGCACGTTCATGCTGCAAATGCAAGCCGATGCTTTCGGGCTAAATTTGCCTGCATGCGGGCATGCGGCAAACAAACCTAGCTCTATGCAGCAAGCACCTCATCACCGCGTGGATGTAGACCGCGAGGCATTGTTAGGCCATGCTGGCTGAATGCGGGTCCACCCATCATCCCTGACGAGTCTTGGGAACTGCTTATGCAGAGCTAGGTGTAAGAGTGTTTCACTGGGAAGCGGTCCAAGCATGGTTTGACTGGATCCGCTTTGATTTTGACAGTCAGACGGTCTCATGGCATGGCCCTCTTGGCATCGCCTCACCGCTGATCAGCTAAAGGCCACATCCAGCGGGGAGCCTCGGAGCAAGCCGGGCTCAAACGACACGTCCAGATCGGACCCGGACCCGCGCTCTCAGCAACCGGACATCCATTGGGTCGTTGCGCCTCCCAGAGAGTTGACGCCAGGCAAGGAGTTCTTCGGCCAAGACCGGGTCAGATTCGTCTACAAGATGCTACCAGTGGCTACCAGTACACCTGGCACCTGTCCTGTCTCTATGAAGCCTCGGCCCTGCGAAGCACTTTGCACTGTCGGGTTGTTGCACCGGCAGCATACTGTGCACTGTTTACGGCCCAACAAAACTCATATTACGGCAATACAAATACCTCTTGACCAGATTTTTCTGTCATGGCTTGGATGCTTACGCGACCGCAACTTCTCGCGCTGGCTGATCCGCATGACATCTGCTGCTTGGGTCCTCGATGCGTCCGGTCAGAGCAGCCAGCTCGGCCCTGAGGGCTGCTGCCTCACATCTCAGCGAAGCTAGCCCAATGTGCTGCATTGCCCGCCGGGTTACTACGTGCTTGCTCTGCAGCTCAACGTTGTCCAGGAGCTACCAGTACCCACAGCACCGCATAGCACCTGTGCGTTGGCCGTCTCAGCCGCTTGTCGAGCCGCGACGACTTCCAGCACGGTGGCATCTAATCGCCGTGCCAACTGCGCACGCCTGGCAATGAAACGACACTCAACTCAGCCTGCTCAGCATATCTCGCAACCCAATTCAGTCGGGGATGCAACTCGACCACCTGCCAGGGCTGAGCGAGGGTATCGTTCCCTGCACTAGCTAATGTAGCTATAAGCACAGACAGCCGAAGATCGCGAATGTAGGCCCTGCTGATAGCTAGGGAAGCATTCCATGCAGCAAACCATGTTGCATATGGCAGCCTGGAAGAGGCCCCGTTCTGCAAAGAAGATCCCTTTAGGCTAGGTATATATCATAACCGTGCAAGCACTTTCAAAACTTTAAGCCTATAGGCATATGCCGTGTACAGTCCTTTGTCATGATCATTCATGATCACAGGCGGAAGGTTTGTGGAGGTAGTTGGCCGTGGTGCTTACCAAGATGTTCTGGTAAAAGTGGGCCCCTCGTACGTGAGGTTCTGAGCCCAAGCCCTAATGAATTTCCCTGTGCTCTTCCTGCCATGGCCGCTGCGGTTGAGCCCAGTGCTCCGGCCGCTGATGGGTCTGGCGGCCACGTGAACAAAGAGGAGTGTCTTTGGTTGAAGTAGCAGCAGCGCAAGGACTGGAATCGGATGTGGGCCGTCCTGGGTCCCTCCGGGTTGATCCTGTTTGCTGATGGGGTCACATGTGCGAGCTTGCCATCGTCGACGATGTGGGAGCAGAAGGTTCAACAGCCAGTGCAGCTGATCTTCGTACTGTAGATGGCATGGTAGCGCATATTACCCCCTGCCTGTGCTTTACGGTTGCGGGGACGAGCTTTAGCACCGCTGACCATCCACTCCTGCTCCTTCTTCACCGAGGCCGCACTTCTGACCTTTCTGATCCAGTCTGCCACGTCCTCGTCCAAGTCATACGCCAATGACATGTGCTTCCTTTTCGGGGCGGTTGAGTCCTATGCTCCCGGAGCTAGTAGAAAGCTGAGTGGATCTGGAGCACTAGCCACTGGAAATGGTTCTTCTGCTCACAAGGCAGCCCGTGCCGAAGTTGCAGCAGGATGGTTCTGAGACGGCGACTGCTGTCTCCGAAGCTGCAGATAAGGTTGGCTGCCAAAAGGCCTAAAACTGGGAAAGGAGTAGACTGAGTCTACCTAACTCCGCCTGTTCTTCCCTCCGCCACTTGGCACAGGGTGTCTCCTTCGTTGAGCCCCCCGCTTCGAGGCACCATGTGCCACAGTCTGAGTGCGATCTCTGCCAATGGACTCGGTTCAGTCACCAGTCAAGGTTTCTCCTGGTTTGAGTCCTAAACTCACCAGTGGTTTTCCTGCGGGTGATAGTATGGTTTTCAAGCCTTGTCTTTTTCCTGAGCTAGACTAGGACTGTTGGTTTTCAGTAATCCTGCTTCGAGACAGGTGAGTATGGGGATGTGCATGTCCCGTTGGGCGGCCTAATTGCTCTTCCAAGGTTGCCTTCTGAACAAGGAGCCGGCACATCTGAGGACTCTGGTGGGAAGTCCGTGCATGCCGAGGAGTTTGATCGTCGTGAAGGCACCGTCGCCTCTTCCGTGCGAGATACGGGTCTGTGATCCCAAAGGTGCCCATACTTCCCGGTCTTTTGTGTTGAAAGGATTTGCGAGTCTGTTGAGGACTCCACTCCCTGGAGTGTTCCGAAACTGGGGAGCTAATGGGTGGATGATGGTTCCACTTCCCAAGTGGACCTTAGGCTTGAGGTTGTTGAGCCGCGCCACATTTTGGTGCTGCAGTGTGGACACCAGCCCCTCTAGGGCTTGAAGTAGAAGTGGGACAGACGTGTTTCGTCACTGGTCTGTTGGGCCATTTAGAACGGCTTACGGTTGCGATAAGGGGCTGGTGGCAAGGGCTCCTCTTAACGACTCTGAGCCTGAGGAGAACCTAATCCTGTTCAAAGGGCTACGGGGCTCCAAAGGCTGTTGAAAGGAGGATAGTGCAGCCGAAGAGTGGGTGTTCTACCTTTGTGCGAGGAGGAGGTGATGGTTCCGAAAGATCAAGCCGCCCGGTAGAGCACAGTCGTGAGCCCAGGACACAACCAAGGGCTACGGGTCCCCAGAATCCAGAAGGCATGGGCGTGAGAGGGAAGATGATCGAGGCCGGGAGGCCCAACGACTCCCCTCCGAAGAGCAAGCTGACTTTGACGCCTACGGTCCTAGGGGTGGGCCGAGACCTCTCAGTGTATTTCCCAGCAAGCTGGAAATCCACCTCGGCGAAGAAGAGCTGGTGGATCTGGCGAAATCCTTTTAGTGCCTGTCAAGGGTGGAGCCAAAGGAGGCCATGCTCGATTTGTTGAGTCTTCTCCAGATCCTCCACTACAAGCGGTCCTAGCCAAATCACCACGCAAGGCTGACATATTCAGGCTGTGTCGACGGCACTGAGGCCTTGGAGGCTCCGAGATGATCCGTCCGGCGGTGAAACTCGCTTCGTGGAGCACGTTCAGACAGGAGTTGATTCCGATCCTCCCTCCGCCCATCAAGGACTTGATTCCGATTCCTCGGGTGTTAGGGAAAGCCATGCGGGTGAAGAAAACCAGCCTCAGACCGAAAGGTGAGACCGCTGTGGGTCGAATGGCGAGGCGACTCCCCGGAGGAACCAACCCAGGAGATCACGCCAACTCCTTCCAGTCAGGAACCCCATGCCATGTCCCGAGTAGGGATGCCGATTCGGTTGATGGTTTAGTACCTTCACGAGCGGTCCCAGCGGAAGGTCCAACAACCGAGTGTTGAGTCGGGTACTCCATCTGGGCCGAGCCGCCAAGGGTCTGGGCTTTGGCTCAACGAGGAGTCTTATCGGCTCCGAGTCAGTGATAACCCGCGGACCTTGCGGGGTGCGCTTTGGTGGATGTGACAGGTGCAGCCAGGACACTGCCTGCCCGCAACTCAAAGAAAGTGCTTGAGAGGGATAGTGTCGATTGTGATCAGCAAGCCCCCGTTCCGGAAGGTAACCACTCGAGAAAGGTTCGGTCAGTTTGTGAACTCCACTCTGGTCGTGAGGCTGCGAGGGCAGAGGAATGATAAGTACTGGTCTCGGCGAGACCTCATTCTTGAGCTCTTCCCTTCGACGGCTGATTGTCCCGCCGAGGACCCCACGAGGATATCCTTTTTTTGGCCATGGATCCCCCAGTCATGGTGGACTCGACACCCTTTGGGGGGTTATATAGTCCTTGTCTTCGGGTTGCTTTATGCCGGTTGATCGGTTCATGCTCTTCAATGTCACTACGTGGCTTTGTTCAATAGGTTGGTTTAGGCGTAACCTTTGAGTTCTGCGTGTAGGACTCCTTTTGGAGTTTCGACAGGTGGAGCATCCTGTTTGCTTTCGCTCCAACTTTAATCGTACAAGCGGAAATCCTGTAGAGGTACCTAGCCGTAGTGCTTACCAAGATGTTCTGCTTGCTGCTTCTAGTAAAAGTAGAGCCCCTCGTACGCGAGGCCACAACCTGCTGCTGCCGGGTGACTGAGAATCTAACGTGCAAAGCGATCGGGTCGGCTGCCACTTCGCGATCCGGGCGAAGGCTTAGAGACAACCCCAAGAGATTTTTGGAGTTTGGAAGAAAGGGGCAGAGAGTAAGGCATTATAAAGATACGACGTACAATGCTGCGACGCTTGCAATGCGACGAAAGACAAAGAAGATGTACCAGGTAAATGAACAGAAAGAAAAAGACCCAAATGCAAGGCGCACGGCGCCTCATGCTCCAAACGGGTACACCTGGCTCGCAGTGCGTCTGCCTCCTGGCCTTCAGGGAGAGATTCGCTGATGATACAACCACCATGCCCTTGCTCCCCTCACCAAGCCAGTCGCCAGCCGTGGCCGCCTGACCAGGCCGAAAGCTGGCCCTCCCTACGAACTTCAGAACTGCATTCGGCTCACAGAGGACGACAATGACAAGGGAATGGAAGCGAGTAGTGATTGATTGCGGTGGTACAGTGGACCTGAGACATTCAGTTCTGTGCATCAGCCATACGGGGTGCTTATGCTGTGGCCTCTTGTTGAAGAGGTCGCCGTTCCAGACCCTGGCAGAGTGGGGTTTTGAGGTCTAAGTGGGGTGTCCGACTCAACTCGTTATGGGCTGCCGCCTCCTGCAGGTATTCCTCAAAGTCACCTGCTCCGCAGATGTTATCGGACTAGGCATCATGCAGACAGCATACTGAGCATCAGTCTCATCCACTCGCAATCATTCTGTTTAGTAACAGCAGCAGCCACTGCAGCCGCGGCTGCAGCTGCCCTCGGTGTCTGCGATTTCTTTTGACACTTCCAACAGCACACACGACATGACCAGGCAAAAATCTTGGAGCGTTGCCCCGTTCCAGAGTGGCCGTTGGACTCCAACACTAGGGCCAGTCGTGCCAAAGACTTGACCTTGCACCGCAAGTAAGCCCGGAGACGCGGCCTTCTCAGCCCCTGCCCAAGCCCACGGCAAAGGAGGGAGCCGACTGGGACTCCGTGGCTCCAGGTGGAGGCGGTGAGCCTCTTCTGTCGCCAGCTTCTTTAAGCGACTCCGACAGCAGGCCCACCCGCCTGTGCTGCCTGCCTTTTCGGGCGGCGCAACCTGTCCAAAGATTGAACACCGGACGGCCTACGGCAACTGAACCAACACGCTGCGAGAAACATGCCGCCAACTCCAACGACGGACGGCTTCCATGACCAACATTGAACTACTGCCAGATTCACTAGCAACACTGTCGGAGCAGCTGCAGCTAGTGAGAGCTAGTTTTGATGGGCACCTGCACCTGCACGGGCAAGGCCATTGGAGGCCTGGCCTGGCTTCAGAGCAAAGCCAGGACAGGGACCTACGTACACGTGGCTTCTTGAGACAAGAGCAAGGTGTGGGAATAGGAGCAGCTCTTCGGGCGGTGTGCTTTGTGACGAGATGGCTCGGCTTATTCTTTCGCAGCGGCAACAGCATGTCAAGAAACCTGCCATTGTTCCTCACTCTCTCGGTTGAGCCTTAGTTCTGAGGCTACGGTACGTCCACTCCAAATTCGGATAGTTCGCGGGCCGAACAGCCTGCAGCAGTAAGCCCTCCGACCAAGCCTTAAGCAAGATCCTTGAAGCTGTAGGTCCTGAACTGCCCTGCACCCTAACGGCCGCCGATCCAAACCGAAGAGCAGCGCAGGTTATGCAGCCTCGGGCCTCGAGACCACCACAAAAATTCCATGCTGGGGAGTATGGGCAGGCTACAGTTTTGAGGCTGGAGTGCGACTAATCGGACGGCCTACAGGGCAACGGCCCTTCATGGCGAACTCTCGAAGCTCCGAAGGTCCCTGAGCGGCTTCTGTCATCATTGTACTCTCGGGTCTACGGGCTGTCTGAATCCCAGAGCTTTGCCGTTATTTATCATCCTAAAAGGGCCCTCCTCATTTGGAGAAGGCTTTGCAATTCAAGTGGAAGCTCGTGGAAATGCGACATTCTTGCCAAAGAGCGCGAGGTGGTTCTGGTGATCGGCTTGCCTCTCTTGCAGCTCCTGAAAAAGAAAGATCTGAATGCCGGAGCACGCGAGGTTTGCACATGTTTGCACTCTGCACTCTCCTTTCTTTCGCTGCGGAGACGCTCGTCGTGGCTTCGCGCCTCCTTCAGATTGTGGCTCGAGCAGAAACCGATGGACATGCTACAATGTTACAAATGCCCTGCACCTGCTCTGTCTTGCGGGGATGAATGCCGCACAGGAGAATCTCGTCGCGTTGTCGCTGAAACCTGCAGTGCAACAGCATAGAACCAAGAACATCCAAGAACTCTCCGCGCAGCGACAGTGAGGGCAGGCTACCAACAGAGCGCTGTCCTTGTTCGCATCCGCCGCAGCAGGGCCTGGACGTCACGGTCTTTAGGAGGCACGGAGAGCTGGACAGCTGGCACCTGCAGATCTTCCTGCAGATCTAGCACGTCGGACCGGTTGCATCAAGTCCTCAACCAGATCTCTGCAACATGTCGCCTCAAGCCCGATGTTGCAAGTCTGCATGCAGTGTGCAAGCGATCTTGTCTTGAGCTCACCTCACGTCCTTGCTGATGAGAGCTGCAGCCTCCAATCTTTTCTCGAAATTAGATGAAGCTTACCTGGATCTGTTGGTTGCGGGTGTCGAACTCGGGCGCTACGAGTTAATGTTCCCGTCAAGCCATGCTAGCCTGACGGACTCTGCCAAGAGGACGGAGCATTCCTGCGACCATTTCCACTCTTGAACAAACTCCTGGCGGTGCAGCCGAGCTTTCGTGCAGGCGAGAAGCAATTCTTGGCGCTGCAAGCTTGGAGAAGACCCGGGCGAAACCAAAGCCTTGCCTCCTTCCATGCTTAGATGCATAGCAGCAGAGCAGCATGCACGAGGACAGCCAACGCCTGCGGTCGTGCCGTCCATCTACTCTTCCTTCTGTGCGCTCTGCTTTTGGCGACTAGCCGACATGGCAGATCAGGTATGGCGCATGCCATCTGCGCTGGGGGCCACAAGGGCCAGTGCCTCCTTTTGAGGGGCACCCGGAAGACGCCTCCAACCACGCCAGGCTCAGGCAGCTTTCTGACTGAGTTGGAAGCAATGCCGCAGGGCAGCCCCAGGCGCTTTGCCAACGCGCGCAGAGTTTCACTCTGGGGCACGAAGATGGAACTTCTACTAACTGTACGAACGCGATCAGACCAGCACCGTGTGGTGGGAGGCATTCGTCACTGCGGGAGCGGAAAATAAGTACACCTGACCAAGATGCCGACGCTGAGATTTGAGTCTTGCTGAAAAGACCAAAGCAGAAACCAAAGCTCGGGATGCTCTTTCTGCGTCTTGGTGACCGCCCCAACTTTCTGCTTCTGTGTTTGCTGGTCTTTTGTCGTCGTTCTGGGGCTTCGTTGTCGCCCGCATGGGATATGTGTGTGTGTGTGTGTCTTCTTCTGCCCATTCAAGCATCCATGGAGTTTGAATGCGTATGTGCGTGTGTGCATGCACGTGCTTGTGTTCGTGTTTGCCCAGCCGGCCGTGTGACTGGGTCACTTGCTCGCTAGACCGCCTGATTGGATGCTTAGTATGGACGTTATCATCGGTGTGGCGTCGATCACTCGGCCAATGGACGGGCTGGTAGCATCGTCATCATCGCTGGGTCGTGGGCACAGTGGCCAACGCCGCGGCTGGTAGGAAGTACACATAATGCATTGGTGAGGCGTGGATGCATTGGACATGGATGCACTAGTACAATTTGCATCATTCTCGTTACTGCTGTTACGCCGTGGATGTACTCGCCAATGCATGGGCTGAATGCATGGACGTTATCATCGTCGGGGCACGGATGCGGTGGGCCAGTGGAGGGCTGGTAGCATGCACATTATTAAGTCCAGGTGCAGAGGGGCGAACCTAGCTGCTGCTGCTGCTGCTGCTGCTGCTGCTGCTGCTACTACCTCTATTACCACCACTTGTACCACTAGCACTACGACGACGACGACGACTACTACTACTACTACTACTACTACTACTCCTATTTCCACTACTACTACTACTACTACTGCTACTACTACTACTACCACTACTACTACTACTACTACTACTACTACTACTACTACTACTACTACTACTACTACTACTACTACTACTACTACTACTACTAGGCTTGCGCGCCTCCTGGCGCCTGGTAGTTTGGAGGTGTTCGAGGGTCAAAAGTATCGGTTTTTACAAGGTTTTGTGAAAATCGCAGTTTGGGTACGTTGTCAAAAACTACTTTGTTTTACTAAGAATTTCACTTTTGGATGACGATGATGATGCTAGTGATGCTACTGGTGATGATGAGGATGATGATGATGAAGATGCTGAGAATGCCAACGATGCGCATGTTATTGGAAGCCAATATTAGGACTGAGGACTACGGCCACTAGTTCGAGGGTCAAAAGTATCGGTTTTTACATGGTTTTGTTAAAATCGCAGTTTGGGTACGTTGTCAAAAACTACTTTGTTTTACTAATAATTACACTTTTTGGATGACGATGATGATGCTAGTGATGCCCCCGCACCAGTGGAAGAAAATGCTTCGAAAACACACGAAAATCGAGCCACACCTTGGGGATTGCGTTTTCGGCAAAAATCGCGGTTCAGCAAGTCGTGATTGACACCCCCACCAAACCCTCCCCTCCCAGTCGAAGAAAAGGCCCCATAAAACGCTCCAAAGTACCGGCACTGCCAGTGTTTTTGGCAACAAGAAAACCATTGCGGTCGACCATGTCGTTATTAACCCCCCCCCCCCCCACCCCCCCCCCCAACCCAAAACCTCCCCGAAACACTTGAAAACAGAGCAAAACACCAGGCGCCAGGAGGCGCGCATGGGTACTACTACTACTATTACTATTATTATTATTACTACTACTACTACTGCTACTACCAATGCTGCGACTGTGACTGTGACTGCGACAACATCGACGACGACTGCCACTACGACTGCCACTGCCACTGCCACAGCCGCAGCCTCAGTCTTTGCCGCCGCCACCACCACCACCACCACCACCACCACCACCACCACCACCGAGATCAATACTTACGTACTGTAGTAGTAGCAGTAGTAGTAGCAGTAGCAGTAGTAGCAGCGGTAGCAGTAGCAGTAGCAGTAGCAGTAGCAGTAGCAGTAGCAGTTGCGGTAGCAGTAGCAGTAGCAGTAGCAGTAGCAGAAGTAGTAGCAGTAGTAGCAGCGACTCCGACAATAGCCAGGGTCTATCGCTGTCCCTATATTATCACTATCATATATCGTATCACCATGCCTAATTGCCAGCACTATTATTGTCTCTCTTGCTCACTTGCTTTCTTCAGGCTTTGGAAAAGAAAGGCACACGCATCTTTCTTTCGCAGGGCTTCGGGGCGAGCCCGTGTGTGAGGGTCACAGGCTCTTGGAGGTCCGCTCGACATCGCGCAGGTTGCTGATTTTGCGTTCCATCCCTACTAGTACTGCTCACGAAGGTGACAAGCCCCGGCACTGCAACATCTCTTCCTTCCTGCCTTCCTTCCACCTGGGGTGTGGACCCGGGCCAGGCCCCCCCCATTCCCCCCTCGGAGGTGGAATAAGTCATTGGGGTCAAAGTCTCTCTCTCTCTCTCTCTCTCTGTCTCTCGCTTGCTTCTCAAACTCTAAGCCCGCCTCGTCAAAGTAGGGTTGAAAAACTCGAGAGGTTTGGTGCCCATAGATGAGTCGGCTGGCCTTGCCAATGCGGCTGAAAGACGAGCTTGAAGGTTGCAGCTCACTGTTTCAGCTTCCAGGGTTGATCGTCAAGGGGGAGCCACCAGCAACAGCGAAAAAGTTAAACAAACCAGGCAGCAAAAAGCATGCACTCCATGTCATGTGATGCGTGCCACTACACTGCAGCCGATGCCTCTTCCGCTTCAGATGGAAAGCTCTGAGAACTCAAGCGCGCCTGGCCGAAACCAGCTTTCTCAAGACAAACATCAAGAGACCCGACCGCAACGTTCCAAGGCAAGGCACGGTCATAGGACCAGCTGCAGGAAGTATTGGTTGCATTCAATCTTGAACAGTCCTGTATGTATGCCTCCCCATTGAAATCACACCTATCATAATGTTTCGACGAATCCACAACTACCAAGAACTTAGAAGCCAATGCATGTCGTCACAAAACCATGCCAAATTGACAGCGGAATCTCGCAGATGCCGATCGATGTGAAATCGACTCACTATTATTGGTTTGGCAATATGATATGTACCTTTGGTAACCGAAAGCATTTACGACTACCCCTTTGTTCGAGCCGCATGAGCAAACGAAAGCTCCCCTCCCTCATATCATACCCATACAAAGCTTCAACACAACTGCAACAAGTCCTAGAGGGATTGATCGATGCGACGATGTTCGTGAGGTGTTGCTGCTGCTGTTGCTTCTGCTCCTGCTTCGGCTACTGCTACTGCGAGTAGGAGGACCACTACCACTATCCCACCATCACCACCTCCACCACCACCAGCATGCTTCCATGCCCAGACCCTCCTCCATTGGTGCCAGCTGAGAAAAGCCTGTTCCAGACCCCACTGATTCCTGATCTTTCAGGGGAGTGGAGTTAATCAACGCCCCGCATTCTGCCAGCTAGATAACGCATAAATAATATCAAGCCACACCTTTCTTATTTCATGGGTCTCCGGGCCTTGGGCAAAGGGACTTGGGGATCGGCCAGACACACGTTCTGGTGGTTCTGTGGCCTGATGGCTAAGCTTAACTCCTACACGCAGAAGCTGCAGGTTCCAAATTTATGGTAAGACAGGTGAATGAAGGGTTCCTGACGGTAGGGGGGGCATCATCCACCATGGGTGGCTGAGGCCTACGAGAAAATGCACGTTGAAGCTTCGAGCTCTAGGCTTAGAGTTTACAATTGTTATAAACGGAGTTTTATGATTCAATTCACGGTAGCAGAAACTCGCACAAGAAAGCGGCCAACAATGCAGCAAGCAAGCAACAGCAATAGCAGTACCTCACCAGAGCGGTAGAAGTTGGTGAGAGCAACAGCGACCAGCCACAGACATAAGGCCAGTAACGATACTGGAGGCCGGAAGAAAAAGACCCAAACAGGGGAGGTATGGGGAGGGTCAGGAGCTTCGGCGCTGCGCGGCCTACAAGCGATACTGGTCTTGTCCAGCCAGGCGTGTCTCCAGCCCAAGCACACACACACACACAAACTCCAGGGTTCAAATGTCCATGATCATCGTCTGCTAATTACGCCCGCCCGCAGATGCAGTTTCAGCGTTCATAGGATGCATGCGGGGCGGACTTGCTTGGCCTGCTGCACAAAGAAGTTGGCAAAGAACTGAGTTGTGGCGATAGCCTGACGAAACACGGAAGCGAGCAGGCACAAGACGGGCTTCAACTATCTTGGCGGGTGCACGCTCACGCTGAGCTGCCAGCATCTGGCCCATGTTTCGCTGCCGTCGCTGGCTGGCCATCAGGGAGCAATCCTCAATGCAGCACAACAGTCCATGAGCTTGATCGGGCATTCGCACGATGCTCTGAGGACTCCGGCCATGTTCAAAAGCATTCTTCTCTGGATGGAACTGCACACCAAACCTAAACTGCAGCTCAAGGCTACGCAAATCGCTCGGCGCCCGTCTCGTCTGAGGCTACAGCCAGGGCAAGCCCGCAGCACCCTCGATCACGCTGGCGAACTCCTGCCAACAAGATTAAGGAGCTGCAGATAGCGGCTGACGTGCTCAGGTATTGCGATGGCAGGAAGAGGTTGGGTTGGGGAATGACTGCAGGCACGTAATGCAGCTGTCTTCTCGCTTGCGCATCAAGGGAAAGTTGCGGGTAGGGTTGGTGCGGCACTTGAAGACATTT